CAATTAAATAAATAATTAAAGAATTTTTACTGAACTCTAGAGCTTCTTATAATCTTAAATTTAATTTTATATTAGCTCTAATTTAATCTAATAAATAAATAATCTAAAAGAAATTTGTTTAGTCTATGAGATTTTAATATTGCTTTTTATTTATTTAATTTAAGTGTTTTTATTTATTTAATTATTGATTCTAGAAAAATACGCTTCAACAGGTGTGCAGAAAGCTTAGCTCTGACTTGTTTCTCGCCTGTCATATGTGATATTTTGTTTCTCTAGTGCTTAGCCAGCCATGCCAGAATGATGTGAGCCAAAGGCGAAATAAAATCATAGTCGGTTACAAGGCTTAAATTCCAATGTTCAGTCAATAGCAAATAAAAAAGCGTAAACTATTATTCCGTTCAACTAGAATATTTTTTCAAATCACAAATGTCGACACTGGGGAAGGACCCGGTTGCGGGTCGGTACTCCGCAGCGCGTGGGTTTCGTGACTCGAAAGCAGTTGCAAGTATAGTTCAGCGAATGTCCAGCGCCGTAAGAGATTCATATATGCCCGACGCGAAAGAAGAGGGAACTGAGAGCCGTGATCGGTCGAAGCGCCGTTGTCCACGAAAGCAGCCACACCTGCCGACAAAGCGCGAAATCGAGATAGCCAAGTTCAAGAATATTGACTTCTCGCGCCGTGACTCGGATCCGCTGTTGGCCGTTCAGACGCTCGAGTTTCCGGATGCGAACATCAAGCGGACGGATATCAATAAGCGTGATGCCTGCGGCAGGTCGGTGTGGAACAAGAAGACCGGCAAGGATTTTCTCAGCTCGAGCGTTTCGGGCTTTCGTGATGGCATCTTCACGGTGAACATGAAGCAGCGAAGCTGCACGTCGTCCAGTCTTCCGCCCAAGTCCGTTAAGTCGAAAACGACGCAGGAGTATCGGGATGATTCATCGATCGATTCGGCGGAAATGATTGACTCCCATCACGTGCCGTCGATCCGAGCCAAACACTTCAAGGGCAACCAGTGGAAGAAGCCCTGTGAGGCTAGCTATGTGATTGGTGCTCCACAGCCGCACATTGGACGCTGTCCGGATAACTTTCAGCAGCTGTCGAAATTGGCGCCGGTCCGTCAGAAGTTCTTCCTCACGCAGGATCCGCGCCAGACCCACTGCCTGGCCAATCCCAGTGCACTGCGGCACAAGAAACTAACGGACGATCAGCAATTCAAGCTGATTAGCAAGATGGTCAAGCACGGGGACAACGTGTGCGCCAGCACCGGCTCCGAGTCGTCCGATACGCATATATGCGAGGTCATCGACTTGGAGAATCCCGTCAATTTGGACTTCCAGGGCATGGACTACAAGAACACGTACGAGAAGGACGAGCAGGAGGCACAGAATCAGCAGACCTATTGGCGCGTTGTTCGCTATATGACACGACGACGTACCAAATTGAAAACAGCCACCAAAGTAGAGGCCGAACTGCAGGCTGAACGCTTGGCGATACCTCCGGTGTTTGATACGAAAATCAAGGATGCACCCATCATAGAAGATCCGCCACCGAAGGAGTTTAAGCTGGCCGAGCTCTTCCGCTCGCCCGACAAGCCGGCCAACAAGGCGAAGATCGCCGAGGAGCAGAAGCGTCGCGAGGCCCGCTACAAGGACATCTACTTACGCAACAAGCAGCGCAAAGCCGAGCGGGAGCAGGCGCGCAAGGAAGTCGAGGCAGCCGCTCTGGAAATTCAGGCGCGCACCGTTGCCGAAAAGGACCTGCAGGAGGATGTGGCGAAGATCGACGATGACATCGAGCGCAGTTTCAAGAAGTTTGAGTATATACCGCCAGTGATACGCAAGCGCAAGTTCTTCCCCAAAACGCTGACCGAAACGGAGCGACTGAAGGCGATCATGCACAAGGAGAACTGCGTGCGGCGTGATCTGGCGCGAGTGACGCAGGAGTTCTACCTGGAGCGCACCGGCAAGCTGAAGAAGTTCCCGGAGGCGACGCAGCAACTGCGCTGCGAGGAAAGCATTGACGGCAGCGCCGGCACCACGCCCAGCGAGCAGAGCAGCGACGACGAGGACTACCTGAAGGTGGGCAAAATCGGGGATAAATTCCAGCTGCGCGGCTTTCACTTCAAGCACGGCGATGGGCTGCGCGGCAAGCTGCATCGCCACCAGATCATGGAGGGTCAGCGAACGGTTAAGGGTTGCCTAACGCGCGACGAGTGGCTGAATCAATTGGCGCCCCGCAAGGAGCCCATCAAGCTGGACGTGGAGCGTGGCATTATCAAAGTTCTCGATCCGGATGATCCGAAACTGGATCTGTTCCCGCCCCAGGGTATGACTCTGCACATGCATGACAAGAAGAGCGCCATCAGGGAGTTCATCGACAAGCGCCTGGGTCTCCACTACCATCGTGTGCTGCGCAAGAACCTGAAGCTGGTCAAGCCCAAGCTCAAATATCACGTCAAGAAATTCAATCTCATTCGCTATGTGTTCCCCGAGAAGATCATTGTGCCGGATGCGCCAGATCAGTTGGATGCGGACATGGTTGACGCCTCCAAGGTGGAAACTACCTTGGAGTACCTGGCGCTCAAGAACAAAATGGCAAAGGCGAAGCATCTCAAGACCAAGCTGGCGCGCATGAAATTGCTGGGACTCCCCTGTGTAGAGGCCAAACAGCTGCGCGAGCAATCGCCCTGCGACGTCAAGGAGGAGGAGCTCGATCTGGACTGGGTGCCGCCACCGGAGACTGTTAGAGAGTCTGTGAATACCGCCGGGGACGAAAACGATCCAGAAACTCGTATGAAGGCCGGCCACGACGATGTGCCCATTGATATGCGCGGCAACATGCCAGCGCCTCAGTTCCGAGAGAAAACGCTCCACATACACCCGAGACGACGTCGGAACTATGCCGCCGAGCGTGTCCCATCGGCTCAGTTCAATGATGCCATCCAAAACTCAGGTATGCCCTTGCTCGAAAAGGTAATGCCCGATAATATCAAGTATGCCAATGTGCGAACCCCGAAGCGTCCGTTCACGAAGAAGTTCGAGGCGCGCCACCATCATGACCATTGGGATCCCACCCAGGCGAAGACCGTGCACGTCCACTACCAGACCAAGACGGTCTATCCAAAGATTACGGTGCAAGAGCAGCCCGAAAGGGTTCCGATTGTAAATTTTATCAAGGCGAATCCTCCATGCAAGAAGTATATAGACACCGATCTAACCATATCCAAGTATGATTTCGACAAGATGATCGCTGATCACTTGGCGGCCACACGCGTTGATAGCAAGGATGGAGCCAGAGAAGTTGTGCAGGATCTATGTCGTCCGTATGATTTCGTCTTTCACTCACGTGATCCGGAGGAGTTGGCGAACCTCGACTATCCAGGACGTAAACAGTATCTGGATTTCCTGCGTGAGACCCGCGAGGCTCTGTACGAGACGAAAGATATTGACCCGGAGGAGGAGCGCCTATTGGTTGATCGCAAGGCGGTTGAGGCCGAGCTCGAGGAAGATCTGAAGAGCATTGAGCAATGCCTCACCTCGCTTAGCAGCTCAGAGTGCACAAATCTATCCAAAGACAGCGGCAGCTTCCTAATGTTAGAGGACGACACGAAGATACCATTGGACTATATACGAAAGCCGCTCGTGCCGTTTGAGGAAATGCGTCGATCTCGCTTCCAAGCGGAAGTCATCGATGTCGATGCTGAAGAGGATAATCCCTTCCGCATGCTTCCCTTCTCCGGCCAGCACAAGGAGCAGGCAGCCATGCTGGGTCCCAAGGATTCGTTCTTTACGTTTAGCTCACGTCTGCGCAATGGCTTACGCCTGAGACTGGAGGTTCCCGTGACCAATGTGAGCCAAATGTTGATCGGACCCAAAGGCCGAAAGTACTATGGCTCGGTTATCACCGATCTCGATGAGAACTATATAAATGAGTTAAAAAACCGCGCTACCGTGAAAACGTTTAATTTCAAGACGGGCGTCGAGCTGTTGAAGGTTGCCATGCGTCTCAAGTACGAATCGCTCTTGATTCAGGGCAAAATGGTGCGCACCAAGATCTACGATACACTGAACGAGCGCCACTGGCAGGACATGAAGAACACCAAGCTGCTGTATGAGGGCCTCTTCGCCAAGTGGGAGAAGAAGGAGTACAATGCAGCCATGACGATGGTCTATCAGGTGAAGACCTACTACGAAATAACCGACTCGATGAAGCAGACCTTCCGCGAGCTGGAGCGTGAGCTGACAATGCTCAACATGGACATCGTGTTCATTGAGGGTCACTGGATACGCTGTGTGATGTTGCAGAACTTCCACTATCTGCTGGGCGAGGAGGAGTGGCGGGCCGAGCACGATTGGATCCATCGGGTGCCGGTGAAGAAGCGCAACAAGTTCGGTAGTGACACCGCAGTGCTGGATCAGGCGGACTCCAAGGCGACTCCGGCGGACTCCAAAGCGACTCCGTCGGACTCCAAGGAGAGTCAGGAGGAAGAAGAGGACGAGGATGTAGAGTATGAACTGGAGCCCTACGACCAATCCATTGCAAAGCGTGCCATAGTCAATATACGCGTGCGCGATAAAGATGACGCCTGGGCCATACGGGACTTTTACTATGACGTCTATATGCGTAATCTGCACCCCGTACTGCAGGTATTTCCCAATGCGGAGCACTTCCTGCAAGGCATCGAAAATCTAAAGAACAAGACGTTTATGCTGCTACTGGAAATGCACTACACCCTATCCGTGCACACCGAGCTGCAGGGTAAGTTGGAAACATTCATAGACTGGTGCAACAAGGACCTGAAGGAGAAGCAGGAGTACGTGGCACGGAAGTCTGCCAAAAAATTCTTCATGGAGGATCGTGCCATTGAGATGGAGGCGCGCGTCAGGTACTACCTGGATCAACCGATTCGAGAATCCTTTGCCGACGAGGACTTCAACAAGTATCGCGCCGTAATGGCCGAGGTCTATCGTCGCGTAGTGCCCGCAACGGTGCGCGGCTCCAGCGATGTGATACCCAGTGCCTCCGACATGGTGGCCGCCATCAGTGGCGTGGTCCTGGAGATACTGAGCAAGTTCGAGCACATGGACATTGACAAGGTGCGCGAAGTGGAGACGGCGCTGCGCAAGCGACGCCGCTACCTGGAGAAGCTCTCGGCTCAGGCCTATCAGATTGAGCGTCGCATCGATACAGAAATGAAGAACGTGCGACGCAACCTGGAGCCGCCCTACAAGAAGCCCAAGCGTGTGGGACCTCTCCAGCGCATGTACCTGAGAAAGCGTGTCAAGAAAATCGTGCCCCCTCCCGTGGTCATATCGGAGAACACAAGGAACTTCGTGCGAGCCTTTGCCGAAGATGGCGTCGTCAGCGATGGCTTCACCCAGGACTCTGTTATGGTGCTAGACAATATGCAGGAGCAGATAGTGCCCTTCTATTTCGATCACTTCCTCAAGCTGAACGGCTACACGCCCAACTACAATTTCAAGACGAACATTGAACTGCGCGATGGTCTGGAGATTGACCGTTTCCGTATACGCGAGGTCCTGCCGGACGTCCTCCAGAAGGTTGAGAATTGGGAGAATATGCACAAGAAGATCATGGAGGAAAATATTCAACGCAATCCCAAGATGTACGAGAATGTTAGTTAAATGACTGAATCAACAGAAGGAATTTTAAGCCACTTGCAACAAATTTATAAAGTTAGATAGTTTAAACAGTTAGTAGTTCATTAACGGGCGCTAGGCAATCAATTATATTAAATGAGAATGAGTAAACTAATTAATTACTGTTTTCTTTCATATGCATATCTATGTATTGTATATAATGAATACAATATCTTGACTTTATACCAAGTCTAAATTCTTAATCAGAGTAGTGGATCAACTCCTGCTTCTCTGTAAGTTGCTCTTTTATCTGTTCATATGCATACGTAAGGTCTTAAGTATCTCACTTCTTGATCAATATCAAGATCGCATACACGATCAAAACAACGACATCGCTCAAGTCCTCTCCCTCTGTCAAGATGAACAGCTGACTCAATCTCTGAAACTATAGGAACTACATACTTAATATGTTATATAAAGATCAAAAAGTGTTCTCCCATGAAATAGATTGGACATTTTCTTTACGATATCCGTATATACTTACACGAAAGATTAAATTCAAATCTTTCATATAACTATATATTGTACATATATCGTATACCTCTATTATAGTTCTTTACAAATTTATCCAAGTTCATATTACATCACATTGGTCACTAACTTTTAGAGCATACCCCATTTAAGCTCCCTTCTGTGTTTAGAAACTGGAATTGTTCTTCAGATTAAGTTGTTTTTATATGTGAGAAGTCCATTGAGGTCTTTCAGCTGTCAGGGAAATTTAACATCGGGCAGATCTTTGCAAGATTCTTTAAGATCTTTGCAAAGTTTTCTTCGACTAGAAACTCGGAGTTAATTTCATGCACTCTCCCTCTCTCTCTCTCACTCTCTCTCTCTCTCTCCCTCTTGCAACTTTCAGTGTTACACTTAGTTTTTTACTTGCACTTCAATAATTTCAGCAAGTTTTCCGGAACAGCTTTCACTGAGGCAGCTTTCGCCTCACAGCTGCTGGCTGTCTCTCTCTCTCTCTCCTACTCACTCGCTCTCTCTCTCTCTACTCTGCCTGCCCATTGTCCTCTGCTCAAGTTTGCGCTGCCTTGGTCGTCATTCCCTTTGTTTGACTTGGCAGCAGCTGCATTGGCAATTTTCATTTTCTACCTGATGTCCTACTTCATTGCCACCTGCATTGCCTAGTCTCCCTGAGAGTTTCTTTCCATTCCGACTTTTCTTTTATGCGTTGCTTTTTGTGTTATATTTGCACATAAATCACACAACTTTTCTTAAAATTATTTGCTGCTGCATTTTACCTTTTCCATTTTTTATTTATTTATGCACTGTTTGTTGTCTTCAAACTGCTTCCATATTTTGTAGTCCCTGCAGCTAGGTTGAGTTTTACATTTTATTTCGTAGTGCAATTGTGAGCTGAGAATAGTTTAGAGTATATTCAAGTTCTTGAGTTGTCGTTTAGATCTTGCCATGTATAATTCGCTACAATTTCTATACATGGATCTTCCAATTAAAAAATATAATCTATTATCAATCGATGGCTAAGTTCGGGCCTCTGCAGCTAAACAACTTTCTGTTGTGTCTCAGTGTGACATATTTCCTTTCTGTTAATCTCTCCAGCCCCGCACATTGGCCGTGCCATGCCAAAGCATTTCGCAAAGTCACAATTTCCATTAGTAGCTAATGAAGCATTAAAAAGTAACGAAAAAAGAAAGTAGCACAAAAATACTTAACGCCATATTTCCCAGGAAGTTGAGAGTTGCTATCAAAAAGCACAGCAGAGCACAAAAAAAAAAAAAAAAAAAAA